ATGGAGGGCAGATCCATCACTGGCTAATAGCCAAGATGGTCAAGGATGCACCCCATGCTCTGGGGGTCCCTAGCCTCTGACTGCCAGAAGCTGGGAGTGGACAATGAGATGGATCACTCAATGATTGCCTGTTCTGTTCACTCCCTCTGAAGCACCTGGCATTGGCCACTGTCGGAAGACAAGATAACAGGTTAGATGGTTGTGACAGACTTTTACAAGACTATAATGGATTTTGTACAAAGTATGCCTTGTGAGGAGGTATCATTTGAAAACTCAATGTGCTGAACATTATTGTCCTGGTAAAATATGTGTGGCAACATTGTATGTAAAATAATAAGATTCTACTGTATGACTTTACTGAGACATGCTCCAAGTTCACAAATCAGGCACAAAACAGTTCCTCAGAGACAATAAGCAAAATGACGCCTCTGCCAGGTGTGAGCATAATCAAATGGATTATTACCTGGCTAAGCAGCCATTCTTTGGCAGGAAGGAGAGTGTGAGCGAGAAATTTACTTGGCAAACAGACTTGCTGTCGCCTGAACCCCTGTTGGAGAGGATTCTCAAAGAACAGAAATGCTCTAAAGGAGAAGAGAGGACACAAATTACCTCTCTCCCCTCATCTCTACTAAGGAGCATCATTGAATTGGGGTAGGGGTACTGGCCAACAGGATTCAGTCAGACAGCTAAAAGCATGTGGTGAGAAATCTTTGCTTTGAATTCACTTAGCTTGATAAGTTAGGTATTATTTTGCATTTTACCTTTTATTTCTTTGTAACCAATTCTGACTTTTATGCCTCATTACTTGTAATCACTTAAAATCTATATTTCTGTAGTTAAACTTGTTTTATTGTTTTATCTAAACCAGTGTGTGTTTGGATTAAAGTGTTTGTTATCTGAAATGAAGTTTCCCAATGGGGGGCATGGATCAGCGTTCACGTCGAACTCCCCATCAGTACCCATCCCAAGCCAGGGAAACTAATGATCCAACCAGTGGACCAAATTCTGTGATGAAAGAGGCACGTTGCACATATGCTAAGAAGATTTAAGATAATAATAGAAAATACTATGCACAAACCATGTTGAGATGACGTACTTTCTATGAGCTTGTACTGCACAGAAGGAAAGAGCTGGACAGTACAAGACGCACATTTCTGGGGACAAGAATTTGCTGGTGTCACTGCAATAGAATTCAGGAATGGCTAGCTGAAACCCTCTTGCAGTATAGCTGGGAGTAATTTACATGTTAGAGGCTGTGTGTGAGCAAGGCCAGGAGCAGTTGCTTTCACAGCGAAGCAATGTAAAAGGCATCCCAGATTGGAGAACTGACAGGACACAGCTATTCAGCAGTCCAGATTGTATCTGGGGAATGTCACAATGGCCCAGTGTGGCCATTCTTATGTTCATACAGAGCATGATCTCACTAGGATCGAGATAAAGCCATTTTGAAAGAGCTATAGATATGCCAAGTGGATTCAGACAGCATTAATAATTCCTTAACAGAAAGAGAGATAGAAGGATTGGTGCCCACGTGTCACTGAAGTCAATGGCTAACCTCCATGTGATTTCAATGGGACAGGGTTGGCACTCTGATGCAAACAATCACACAGAAACCCACAGTATATGTTACTGTGATAAAGGGGCTGGTTTCTGTCAGTGAGCGATATTTAAACTGGAGTAAAATTGTGTTATGAGTAAATGGAGAAAACGTACACAGCAAAGAGCTGTGGAAGATTTGTCTGTTAGGAGTTACGCATTTGAAAGGAATCTATTTAGATCTACTTTATGCTTATAAGTTTTGTTAGTGTAGCTTTACTGCAAAACCCTCTGAATGCCGATGCAGCTTGTACTGATCAAAAAGTGCTTTTTCTGGTGTAGTTTATACCAGTTCCCTGAGCAAAAGAAGTTATAGTGGCAAAAACACTTTTATGCCAGTGTACCTGCATCTACATTAGGGCTTTTATTGGCATAGAAATGTGGCCAAAAAATCATGAAGTTACTTCTAATCAACATTGCTATGCTGGCAAAAGTTTCTAGTCTAGTCCTGGCCTGAGCATTGCTGAAGGACCTTATTCCTGTCGCTAGACAATCTCCTGGAAGATAGGAAATGCAATTGTTTACCATCACCTCTGGTGTGTATCTATCTTCAGAAGATTATGTGGGGACAAATAGGACTCAGAGATGGGGGGGCTGTCTGCAGTATTGCCAAAACCCATCACTCACAATAAATAAATAAAAATGAGTCAGGTCCAAAACCCATGAGATTGGCTTAGAAATCACTAGATTTAAATAAGAAGTCTGGAGTTCTTTTTATTTGCCTTTTGGTTTTTGATCCTTTAAAGTGCATGTTTTAAAGCTTTTCTCAGCAACCATGTGGGCTAGAAGCTTCATTTAAAAGAAATTACAAACAGAAGCTGAGATTCTCATATAATCCTATTACTCCAAGAACTTGTGCTTTGAGAAGAACTTCAAATATCATAAGATGCATGATAAAGTAAATATATCATGTATTGGCAATATTATACGTTACCACATACGGCCACACTACTACCACCAAGATGCCCTAGTGCATTAACAGCTGACTGATGCTGAACCTGAGTAAAACAAATTATACTAGTAGGCAGACGAAAGCACTCTGAAGAGTTTGCCGCCATGAAGTCAACCTGTTGATGAAGGTACGCACCAACAATTGGTCAATTCAGTCTGTAGTCTAAGAGTACTCTTGGATAACTTGTCGATTCTAAGAGCTTACATAGCCGCATCTGCAAGTAATGCTTTCTACCATCTCAGTCTCATCTGGCAGACAATGACCTGGCCTCAGTTAGTCACACCTTCACCACCTCTCCGCTGGACGACAGCAGTATAGCTTGGCATGAAGCCATCGCCCCTTGGAAAACTCAAACTAGTACAGAATGCTGCAGTGTCTCTCCTCAGCAACATGGGCTATTGTAAGCATATCAGCCCTGTGCTCTGCTCTCTACACTGGCTTCCCATAGAATATCAGATCAAGTTCAGGGGTTCAGTCCATATCTTCAAGGTGCTCCATGTCCTGGACCCACAATACCTAGAAAACTACCTACAGCTCTGGGATGAAGAATGGTCAACAACTACGCTCCTCCAGGGTAATGGAATTCTTTACAATAATGGTAAAGCTCGTCTGTACAGAAGATAAAGCTGTCTTGGGGGTTGGCCCTAGACTGTGGAATAAACTTCCATAGGAACTAAGGACCATTACAAGGTCCATAGGAACTAAGGACCATTACACCTTTTGCTCTAAGTGTAAGCCACATGTCTGTGAGCTTGGCCTTCTCTAACAAACAATGTAATGTGTGTTTGTTAACATTACACGCACACACACTAAAAAATTTCCAAAGAAAAACACCCCACTGCACACACTTCTCCAACTGGGGAAAGGATGAGAGAACAAACATGTTACACATGTGTCGTCATGTTGCTTAATAAACTAATGTAAGGTGCTCAGATACTCCAGTGATAAGCATGAATACCTACATAGAACAGAACACTGTATCTAGTATGATAATGAACTCTGGAAGCTCCTCTGAACATCAAAGGACTTGACATGGATCTGGGATTTGAAAACCAGAGTCTCAAGAGGCTGAAAGAAAGACTTTCTGAGATAGGGAGAGGAAGCTGTCAGCCTGATCAGTGATTGATTTAAAGAGATGTAAGATATTCACATTTAATTTTGCTTTAATGAAGCTAGGTGTGTCTCATGTTGTTTAACTTACAGGAAAAGTAAATCTTCCTCTGTTAAGCAAACAATGTCTTTTGTTTTAGTTCCACTATTTCTCTGTTTTTAATCAATCCTGTTTTTAATATGATTATTTGACTTGTGGACTTGTTAGGTAATTTCATGAAGATTGCCCCAAAGAGAGGAGAGCCCCGTAGCTTCTAAGGAAAGGTAGTGAAGGATATAGAAGTTTCTGCAGCCTCACTCTTACTTGATGTCTCAGTTACAGGAGCAAGGACAGACGTCCTCTCCCATTAAGGTGAGCTGCAAAGGGCAGAGGAACAAAATAAAAGAAGCCTTAAGAGCAGAGAGGAGACAGGAGTTAGTGTTGATGCAGGTGACTACAGCATGTTATGAAAAGATGGAATACTGGTGATTATTTTAAAATTTCACAGTATATTGTAGTGATTGATATTTGTCAAGTATTGAACAGCTAGTTATTTCATGCAGAATTTACACATTCGACTGGGAAATTAATGTAATCACAACCTCACCCGAAACCCTGTGTAAGTGTACAAAGCCATCAGTGCCATCTTTCCAATGGGTTCCCTTATCATGTGCATCTTCCTGCCTATAGAAACACACACTTCAGCTTGTAATTACCTGATCAGAATGTACAAATATGGGGTTTCCACATGTCCAAAAGATAAGGCTTCCACCTTCTCACAAACCAAAAAGCAAGATAACTCTGCCCCTGCTTCCCTACCAAGCCGTGCCAGCATCTTAAGAGTTCAACAACAGGAAAAAATGATACGTTTTGGGTCTCAATCCTTCATTTGCTAGTAGAGTGGCAGCACCTCTCACTACTGTGGTTGAATGAATGCTGGCCCTGCAACTCAGAGCCCAGTCTACTCCTCTCCACGTAAATCTGTTTTACCAGAGACTCCTTTGCTGGCTCTTTTCATCATATTTTCCTGCTGGCAGGTGGTCATCATTTCACATTTTTGCCACTGGGAAAAGCCCAAATAGAACCTGGTCTATATTTGGGTTTTTGCAAACCACTGGTGTAGGCAGTGCGTGTACCAGTGTAACCTACCCTAGCAAGTTACTAACAGCACAGCACTGGCAAAGTGGGGAGGGGTTTGCAGTGGTGTAACTAGATTGGTGCAAAATTTCCTTGGTCTACCCAAATCTTGTGTTGCCCTCTGCCAAAACACTTGGCAGAGATTGTGAAGCCAGCCTAGAAGCTCCAAACATGATTATCCTTTGAAATTTTGGCCAACAGAAATTGCCAATGTACAAAACTTACCAGCAATGGATAAGACAGCATCAAAACACTCATTCCGATATGGCAGGCACAGACTATGACACACCATTACTTCATGGCCATCATTTCGTGCTGACTCCACCAAAGGGAAGCAGTAATCACAGCCCAGCTTATAGGTTTGAGAATTGATATGAAGGTATTTGCCATTTCCACAGCCTGAAGTAGTAAAATAAGGAAGAGAAAGAGTGTCATTCAGTTTCTGTATGCAAGAGAATGTACTCCTGACATGAGCAATGAAATATGCCAGGGTCTGACCTCAATAATTTGAAATTCTCTGTCCACTTAAAAAAAAAAAACCAAAACAAAACAGGATGACATTATAGAGGAATTTATTGTGTCTTGTGATCATTTTAGCACAATGAGCACAGACTGTTCCTATCTGTCAAACAGTGGGCTCTTTGCTGTGTGACATTAAGTGATGAGATGGGTTTGCTAAAGAGCATTTGTCTTGGCTTTCTCAGAGCATACAGAATCAATAACATTTATGTTATGACTCTATTGCACTTCTGCTTGTAAGAGACCAAAAATACTGTATTAAAGCATCATATGGCAGCAGCACAGCCTTGAATTATTCCCTTGTATTCAAACAGACAAATCAGAAGGCTAAGTAATTAAATCACTATTAGACCAAGCTGTTAAACCCATTGTTTTCTTGTTATCTGCTGCTAATTGTTGTTGCCATGACAACTGGAACTTTCTTTGTCTGATATCTCCCTGCAGTTTCTTCTTCCTAAGTGTATGCTTCTGATGTAGAGATGTACAGCCTTCCCACACTACAAAAAAATCTGTGTTGAAATAATAACAAAACTTTAGACTAGAACTATTTTACTGCTAGCATTTTCATCTGGGGCTCAGGTATCTGAATCCTTATACTATTAAGTCTGATAGTTTGAAAAACTGTTTACATTTTGAAAATCTAAAAAGTTACCAAATGTGATTTCTCACCTCTTGCTTGAATGACTGTCATTGAAATCACAGACCAAATTAAGAAAAGGGAGTGAGGTGCATTGTGTTAATATAATAGACTTTCACTTCTGGAGACTTCAGTTCAAATCCTCCATGTCACAGGCAAAATTCAATTTGATGGTTCATAATGTATATGTATTTGTTCACATGAAAGGAGTGAGGCCTATTTTACAGTGCCCTCCTCTGACCAGACGAGGCTTTGCTCTTGCCGAGTCAGCTCACTCCCTGGGTTAATTCTGTCTGAGCTCTCTCAAGGAATCAGTTTCCAGCAGAATTAGTTGATTTATTTTAAGTGTTCTTAAACAAATCAAAAAAACCTTGCAGACTCTTCCTTCAAAGTCTGTGGAGACCAAATAGCCCTTTCCCCGTCTGTCCCGCACACCAGTAACTTCAATAATCAACATTTCCCAGCTCTTACCTCGGAGGCTCAGCAAAAAAAGGACCCCACAGTATCTCCCTTCTGTTCATGTGGTTCCTGGAACAACTCCTCTGTGCAGTAGCTCCCATAGCAGTCCACTGAGGGAACAGCCCTTGGTCCCTCAGCTTTCTGGAGGTTGTTGCAATCCCCTCCTCCATTTCCTTCTGCCCTCTTTTTCCAAGAGTCAGTTAATTAAGTTCCAACTCTTTCTCAGGTGCAGCAGGTGGGGCTAATCAGCCAGCGAGCTGCTGGCCTCTGGCCCCAGAGGAATGGTATCTCTTATGTTTTCACAGTTCACAATACACTAAAAACCACTATGAAATTAACACCAACCATTCACGAGAACACCCAGAAATAAAAGAGACACGTAGAGCAGAAAGCCCAGTGTGCGCACACAGAGCAATGTAGGGAAGTCAGTGCAACATCGTACATTACACGTTTGGCCCAGGCCATTGTTATTGATACTTCACTTTCATCAACACTCTAAGAATTGAAAGAAAAAAAGAAAGGGGCTGGAGAGATGATTTTAGCAAACTGAAAAAGGAGTAGAGAAGCTACTTATTTTTAGTTTGAATCCAGCACAGGTCAGTAGCAGTCATGAGCTGGCCATATCAGACCTCTGTTTGGTGGTCAACGTGAAATCCTTCCAGGGTCTTGGTTCAGTTTCTAATGGGGAGGTGTCCATATCACTATTAACATCCTTGTAGACCATGTTACTTCTTAAAGAATGAAGAAGGACAGTGGCAAAACTACCAGCTGGCCAGAACCTGTTGTCCCTGCAGGCATGGAAGCACACTGGCACGGTAGTACAGGGAAACTTGCCCTGGCATGGTCCATGCTTTAACTTTAGAAAAATAGAAAACTTCAAATTCCAGAGTTATTTATCCTATATATTAAACTTTTCATATCCACTAACATCAGCTTAAAATAAAAAAGGGAAAATTATTTGCAACGTTATTCAGCTATTTAGCCCTTTCATACTTTCCTTTAATAATGGTGACAGGACATTCACCTCCCAAGTGCCTCCTAATGGCTGGGTGTGATACTGCGAGCCTTTCTGGCCCCTAGTGCCTTCAGTAGGGTGTCAGCCTTTCTTTGTAGGTCTTCAGAGGCTCAGCTCTCCGGCCAACTCACACAGGTCCATTATAAAGAAAGAGGGAGAGCAGGCAGCAGGAGGCAAATCTGATAGGCAGCCAGGCTAACTCACACAGTCAAATAGATGAACCCCTTTTGGGGTAGCAAAGAGTTCAACACACTGCCTGCCTTCAGCAGGGTATTCAGCCCCATCTCTGGGCCCTTTAAATCCCGCCCTGCCTTTGGGATTCTAAGCCTTGTCCCCTTCTTGGGGCTTAGACCACTTCACCAGTGGGAGAACCAGGGCCCACCCACTATTCCGGGTCCCAACCCAGAGACACTATCAACAGCAGTTGCCTCCAGTTCGCTGCTGCTAGCCTGAGCCTTTTCCCACGTAGCCCCTTTTTCTTCACTCTTACCTAAGGGCTGAAGTTCTCAGATCTTCTTCCTTCTCACCAAATCATCAGCATTTTGGGCTGTATAAGTAGGAGCATTGCCAGCAGATCCAGGGACATGATCATTCCCCTCTCTTCGGCATTGGTGAGGCCTCATCTGGAGTACTGTGTCCAGTTTTGGGCCCCACACTACAAGAAGGATGTGGAAAAGTTGGAAAGAGTCCAGTGGAGGGCAACAAAAATGATTAGGGGGCTGGGGCACATGACTTATGAGGAGAGGCTGAGGGAACTGGGATTATTTAGTCTGCAGAAGAGAAGAATGAGGGGGGATTTGATAGCTGCTTTCAACTACCTGAAAGGTGGTTCCAAAGAGGATGGATCTAGGCTCTTCAGTGGTACCAGATGACAGAACAAGAAGCAATGGTCTCATGTTGCAGTCGGGGAGGTTTAGGTTGGATATTAGGAAAAACTTTTTCACTAGGAGGGTGGTGAAGCACTGGAATGGGTTACCTAGGGAGGTGGTGGAATCTCCTTCCTTAGAGGTTTTTAAGGTCAGGCTTGACAAAGCCCTGTCTGGGATGATTTAGTTGGGGATTGGTCCTGCTTTGAGGACCCCCTGAAGTCCCTTTCCAACCCTGATATTCTATGAAATACAAATGCCACCAGAACCCATCTTCTGGCTCTCTCGAGCTCCTGTGACCAGGAAGAAGCACCCTTCCTTGCTCTTCTAGTCCTACTGACCTGCTCAGGCCCTGCAGCTCCTTTTAGCTGAGCCTGCTGGGCTCAGATTGGCTGCTTCTGTGCAGCCTCTCTAGGCAGGCCTGGAGGACCCATCTTCACTGCTCCTTTCTTGGGGCAGGGTATGGTAAGACCATGGGCCCTCCAGCAAGGGGCCTCAAAGGCCTGGTACACTCCGTCACAAGTAGGTAATAGGAAAAGTTGCACAGCCACATGGCTTGTATGTATCTATGGGTGGCTCTGGAAGCAGGTCCATTATAGAAGAAAAAGGGAGAGCAGGCAGCAGGAGGCAAATTTGATAGGCAGCCAGGCTATGATGATTAAAAGAGTACCTACCAGCTCCAAAACACTCATTTTGCAGATGAGCACTCATTTCAAACCCTACAGCTTAAGGCAAGGTGACCTTGACCATCCCCAGAAGTACTGCTTAATACAGAGAAGAGGCATCCCTGGCTTTGATCACTAACAACACTAAACAAATTAAATTCCTTTTTAAACAGTTGTCATACTCCGGGATGAAACTTACCAATATCAGCAATCAGGCTGCCTGGATCCTGATCTGAAAGGAACTGTTGTACCTTTGGCCAAGCCTTGTAGCGTGCATCATGGAAGTGAGGAGCAATTTTCTCATACACACTATGGACATGGTCCTTCTCCAACTGGCTTGCCTCCTTCTCCATCACAAAAAGGCTACACTACCTCATTGAGCCCCATGCAATACTCCTAAAGCAGCAGAAAGGAGAAAAAAGAAGGTCATCTCAGAAACCTGTGTGGTCTCGTTTTCCAAAATACAACCATAAAATTTAAGTAGTATTATGCAATTAGTTTTGAATCTCCATTTACTACTTGGGATGAGTTATCATAAACAAAGAGAAACAATTGGGATTTTTAAGGCAAAAAGTACTGTTTAATCTGTGTTGCTTTCTGACGTTATACAACATTGTATGACAGGGGTCAGCAACCTTTTAGAAGTGATGTGCCGAGTCTTCATTTATTCACTCTAATTTAAGGTTTCGCGTGCCAGTAATACATTTTAACGTTTTTAGAAGGTCTCTTTCTATAAGTCTATAATATATAACTAAACTATTGTATGTAAAATAAATAAGGTTTTTAAAATGTTTAAGAAGCTTCATTTAAAACTAAATTAAAATGCAGAGCCCCTTGGACTGGTGGCCAGGACCCGGGCACTGTGAGTGCCACTGAAAATCAGCTTGCGTGCCGCAGGTTGCCTACCCCTGTTGTATGATATAAATAAGTGTTTCACACGCAAGACTTTTAAGGCAAAAAGCATTGTTTAACCTGTCCTCATGACTAAGACTTGCTAATTTTGCGTCCAAATCAGCAACACTTATTCACATTTCTTCTAAGGGAATTCTGCACCAATTTTTTTTTTTAAATCTGTAAACAATATTTTAAAATTCTGCATGTTTTATTTGTCAAAATACTACTATATAATCACACCAGTTTCAATTATTTCAGTAATTTATTTCAAAATACTTGTCAGCAAGTATGTATGTAACAATACACACAACAAAAAAGATTCAGGATTTTTTTTTTTTTTTGACAAACAGATTCCTTACTAGGCATATATTAATACAGAACTCTGAGTAATAATTCGTTTAACTACAATACAGAACCGTATTTCCCGCATCCCTCAGAAGCAGTGCAAAGGCTTGGAGGAGTCAGGGGTAACAGAGGAGCTGAGGGAGAGGCAAGTAATTGCTGGGAAGGAACCTGGGTATGAACTTGAAGGGTTGTTGGGTATGGGTGGGAAAAGTATGGAACAGGGTTTTTTGGGGGTGGGGAGGGACTGTTAGGGAGCATCCCCATGCAGACCCTGGCTGACCCCTAGCCTCTTCCATTCAGTCAGGCACATCCGCCCCTGTCACCATGTGTCTCTATGACCCCACTCAGCCATCCACTTTCCCCCTGTAGGTCTACACACACACACACACACACACACACACACACACACCCCTACCTGCCCATGTGGCCCTGCACCTCCACTCAGCCACTACCCCAGTCTGTCCTCCCCCACTAGCCCTTATGAGCCCCTGTCTAACCCCCCAGCAGCCCCACGCTGTCTGTTTCCCCATAGACCCCATCTCCTGACCTGGCCTGACAGGCACTGTGAAGAAGGCAGCTCTTTCTCTTGCCTGTGATAGCTGGGGCTTGCCAAGAGCTGCTGCTCTGCTCTAGTGCCACAGCACCTTTTGGTGAGCAAAAGGTGGAACTGCAGCAACTGTTCAGCAGAAGCTATTTTCTGCAAAAAGATATTTAAAATATGCACAGCACATGAAATATGAGTGCGCACAGTGGCGCACAATTCCCCAGGAGTATCATATTGTGTAAATAATACTTTACACTGGATAGTCCTGTTAATTTCAAGGTCAGAAACAGTGGCAAAATCAGGGCCATCACCACTATGAAAATCCTTTAATAGCATCATTGCTGAACTATGATCCTTACATGCTGATGGAAGTCATTACAACTACCAGAGGAGACACCCACAGCCAATTCTAGTACACTCTGCACTTCTGAGCCACAGCAATCCATCCTTTTGTCACCTTCAGATTGGATTACTATGGCCCTGGCTACACTCAAAACTTCAAAGCGTTGCCGTGGGAGCGCTCCCGCAGCAGTGCTTTGAAGTGCGAGTGTGGTTGCGCGCCAACGCTGGGAGAGAGCTCTCCCAGCGCTGTAGGTACTCCACCTCCATGAGGGGATTATCTTACGGTGCTGGGGCACTGTTTACACTGGCGCTTTACAGCGCTGTTACTTGCTGCGCTCAGGGGGGTGTTTTTTCACACCCCTGAGCGAGAAAGTTGCAGCGGTGTAAAGCGCCAGTGTAGCCAAGCCCTATGCCTTGACCTAGAACAGTGGTCCCTAATGAGTGTTATAACCACCAAGGTTATTAAGTAGAGACACCCAGGCGCTGGGAAATTAGGGAAGATACAGAGAGAGACTCAGTAAATGGTAAGATAAGCTCTAACCAGTGTTTTTATGTTGACTATCTGCGTAAACAGAGAAGGTCACAACTAAGTTATCATTTGGGCATGAAAGTTAAAATGTAAAAAAAACTTGGGCACGAAGGAGGACACATAGGTGCCAGTATGTAATTGGTTAAAATTTTTATTTAGGAGTGTGGGATAATGTGATAGGTTTAGTAAAATTGAAGGAGGTAGCTAGTTTTACCTATATCATGTAAGTGAAAAACAATGCTCTTTGGGAATCATTTCCGGATTGCAGTACAACATGAAGCTGCTGGAATTTTAACCCCAAGACTGTGATGTGCAGAGGCATTGCCGGGAACCCCCAGATGAGTGGATCCTGACTGGCCATCAGATGAAATTTGTCTGTATATAGGGAGTGGTGAGCATAAGATATTTGCTTGGTATATATATTCTATGTGTGTTGCTGATAAATAGATGTTGAGAGCACAACTGTGTAAGGCTCTTTCCAAGGAAAAGGTTCTGCAGACCCATAGAGCCATGAGCCCCGAGGGAAAGGGCGGGTACTTATATTGACCAGGTTTCTTCCTGAGGCCCGTGGGTAAGGATAGGTGCCTTACACCCTGAGCCCTCGGTAGGGTATAGGCAAGGTGCCCTAAATTGACCAGGTCACGCCTTGAGCTCTCGGTAGGGTATAGGCAGGGTGCCCTAAATTGAGTGGGTAACATACTGTTCAACATATTCATAAGTGATCTGGAAAAAGGGATAAACAGCGAGGAGGCAAAGTTTGCAGATGATAGAAAATTACTCAAGATAGTGAAGTCCAAAGCAGATTGCAAAGAGTTACAAAAGGATCACACAAAACTGGGTGACTGGGCAACAAAATGGCAGATGAAATTCAATGTTGATAAATGCAAAGTAATGCACACTGGAAAACATAATCCCAACCATACATACAGAACGATGAGGTCTAAATTAGCTGTTACCACTCAAGAAAGAGATCTTGGAGTTATTGTGGATAGTTCTCTGAAAACAGCTGCTCAATGTGCAGTGGCAATCAAAAAAGCTAACAATGTTAGAAACCATTAGGAAAGGGATCGATAAGACAGTAAATAACATAATGCCACTATATAAAGCCATGGTACCTCACAACTTGAATACTGCATGCAGTTCTGGTCACTCCATCTCAAAAAAGATATATTAGAGTTGGGAAAGGTACAGAGAAGGTCAAGAAAAATGATTAAGGGTATGGAACAGTTTCCATATCAGGAGAAACTGAAAAGACTAGGTTTCAGAGTGGTAGCCGTAGTCATATCAGCAAAAACAACGAGGAGGAACTAGGACTGTTCATCTTTAAAAGAAAAAGAGACAACTAAAAAGGGGGATACGATAAAGGTCTATACAATCATGAATGGTGTGGGGAAAAAGTGAATAGGGAAATGTTATTTACCCCTTCACATAACACAAGAAGTCACCAATGAAATTAATAGGCAGCAGGTTTAAAACAAACCAAAGTACTTGTTCACAATGCACAGTCAACCGGTGGAACTTGTTGCCAGGGGATGTTGTGAAGGACAAAAGTATAACCTGGTTCAAATAAGAACTAGATGATTTTATGGAGGACAGGGCCATTAATGGCTATTAGCCAAGATGGTCAGGGATGCAACATATGCTCTAGGTGTCCCTACGCCTCCAATTGCCAGATGCTGGGATGGATCACTCAGTAGTGCCCTGTTCTTAAACATCTGGCATTGGCCACTGTTGGAAGACAGGACACTGGGCTAGATGGATTATTGGTGTGACCCAGTATGGCTATTCTTACGTTCCCAAGAAAATGTCTTAAAGCATAGGAGTGGGGTGGAGAACTGGTTTCTCATCCTGGAAGACCACTGTTGTTCTTTTTAATGTAAGTGATGGTGTCTAGATAATGCAACGATGACTACCTTAGAAATGCACATACAAAGAAAAAGAGACATAGTAATGATCATTAGTTGTCTTGTTTTAGTCCTTCTTGCACAACAACGTGTTCCTCTTTGGCTGTTGCAGAGGCTTAAGGTCACCATTCTTCAAGCACGTATAAGGTGCTTAACTCTGCATGTCTGAGTAATCTCGCTGAATGTGAATTCAATGGGACTATTCATGGGCCTAAAATTAATCACATGCATTAGTGTATGCAAGGAGCTTTGGAGGAGAAGGGTTTTTAAATTACTATTATTACTCTTCATAATAACCAAACTGCTATAGGAGCTTGTTGAAAAAAAAAATGCCTTCAGAAAAATGCAGGCGGAAACAGTTGAAATGCTCTGTTGGTAATTTCAAGGGGAAGATGATGTACTATCAAATATATTGAGGAGAGAGAAATAAAAAGGGAAACTGTTCTTTGAAGAACCTGCAACATCATTTCAAAGGTTTGCTATCGGTTTATTACAAAGGAGGAAATAACTTGTAGGCTGATATCAGCAGAAGGGAGTGGTGGAAAGGTATTGTTTATGTTATGTTTAAAAGCAGGAGTTTAAGTTTTCAAGTTTGCACCTGCTAAGCACACCTTACTTTCAAAGGATGAACATCCTAAAACTTGTTTCCTATTTGAGACACATTAAAACAAACAAATATATAATAATGCAAGAAAATAGGTACGTGACAGGTAAAAGTGAGACACAAAGGCTTGCTTTTTTTTTTTTTTTTTTAAAACATCTAAAGTAAGAAACTTCAATGGCAAAATAATTTAACAAGTATTCCGTGTAAAAATGCCCTCTCCTCTGGAATAAAAAAAGGAAAATTAGAGGAAAATGTAAT